AATAAGTAAACCATTAGAAAATTCAGATCAGATTGTGTGGTCTGTTGAGTTGTATTGACTCAGACCTATTTTTTGCTTTCTATTTCATGTTAGGGGAAATGAAAATAGCCAATTGAGTAACTGAGCATTTACGATCTAATTTGTTTGATTATGTATAGGTGTTTTTGTATTTTTTATAGTCATGACTAGTTTTATTTTATTAGTTTTTTTTTTGGTTTGTAGCCATTTACTACATGGTAATATATATATATATATAATATATATATTTTATGATATTGATGAATTGAAGTAAATTTATGAATGAATTTATTTTATTTATTTTGTTGAAGTTAAATTAGAAGCTTGTATTTGTTTAAAATATTTTAATGTGGAAGGAAGAGTGTGAACAAATTTTCTGAAACTTTATTTACATAGCTTGTCATAGGTAATCATTGATATAAACCTATGATATCTATGAAGTCACATAAGTGGGTTGTGACGGTGGCTAACATCTATTATATACAAAGTTTCCACCTAGCGTCTTTCTTAATTTTAGGAAAAAAAAACTTGAATTTACCATCCAAACTTACAATAATCTAATTTTCCATTGCCTCCCCCATCACTTGCAAAAAATTTGAATAAGCAAGACCCTCCAATACCATATGACAGGATAATTCCTAATCCCAAATCCACTTTAATTGATCCCTCCAAATCATGTTACATCTATAGTGAATGCAACCAAGGTGTTTGATGAAATGCTAAACAACACCAACTAGTAAAATTGATGCAAATATTAAGGCCTCAAGCTACGTCAACAGAGTTGAAGAAAAGTTGATAAGAAATTAGAAAAAAATATGCAAGATATCAATTGCTAGTTGACAGGGCTTGACTTATAATCTGCACTAAACTTATCTCCAACACCTCTGTTGGGCGCTAAAGTGCCCCTAAGACTCTGCCACATTGTTCTACGTGAAGCTACTGCTCAAACTCCTCACATCAACACATCTCCTTCTACAATAGCGATCGAACCAGTAATATATTTACCTACTTAAACTCCCTATGAGATTCATCTGGAGGTCAATGTATTCTCACTTGCTTTAGTGGTCTAGTTAGCCATCCAAACATCAACCCTTGACCAACAACTATAGTTTCTCTCGCTTGCAATGTGTGTGCATGATGGAAGAAAAGCATGGACTTGCACTACAGTAAAATCTCTTATTACGGCAGCCTAAATCCACTGAAAATCGTGAAATTCCACTGGAAAATATGCATTTCCATCGGATTTCCAGGGGAAATGCAGTCGACGGTAAAACAAGCGTCGGAAACATTGTTCTGACAGAATTGTGCGATATTATTCGTTGTTTACGAGACACTCTTACCAATGGTTTATCCGCAGGGGGATAAACGTCCTTTGGAAATATCAACTGGACATGGAACGACAGAATACCCGCCGGTTACACTGCCGCTTATATCGGCAAATATATTTCGGCTTGAAGTTTCACCGGTTATTTCCGCCTATATACCAAGGTTTTCCTATAGTGTTGCTTGTTTTTGCTAGAAAATTCAAGCATGTTCTCTGCTTCGACAAATTATTTTTATATTACTTACCACTTTTGTATAAGATATATTAGACCGAACTTTAATGACTCTAGTCTTATTGTAGGACACACAAGAGCTAAGAAATAAATGGTTAAAATTACTATTCTCACAAAGTAGATAATAAAAAATAAGTATAGCTCCATGGTTACCCATCTCCCATAGATTCACCAACATTGACACTTATATACCATGACCTCAAGATTCTACTTGGGTTTCTTATGTGGCTTGATCTTTTTTTTTTTTTTAGCGACTATGTGGCTTGATTTTATTTTATTACTCACTTCTACTTTGAGGGCAATGTTGATGTTGAAGGATTTGATAATGATATTATCAATACTATAATGAGTATATTAAGAATATATTTGAGATTATTTGTGAATCATTAGATAAGTAATAGCTATTAAGAGCTAATAAGTGGTCTATATGTTTTGTATTATGCATAAATACTTTGCATTTGGGAGAGTTTAGGGCATAACAAATGAAACGAATCCTTTAATATCCTAAATACTCTTCTTCCTTCTCCTCCGCCAAATCCTCCATTTTCTAGGAGTGCCAAAAAACTATAATCATCATTTATCCCTCAATTCTCCTTGGGTTCATATCACTTCTAAACAAAGCTATTATTGCTGCAGTCATTGACAACATGACTATTGTTGTGTCCAGGAGTATTCGCGGAGTAGAGAAATATCATATTTAACGTCTTAGCGTTGTACAAAAATTTGGCACGCAATCAGATAAGTGAGTGTGTAGCATTCATAGAAGACACCAAGATTTTACGTGGAAAACCCCTGAAAGGGGGAAAACCCATGGGGCCTAGTCCAGTTCGAATGAATCCACTAGTATTGCAATTGATTACAAATGAGGCCCTTCTTTGGGAGAAGGCCTTAGCTTGATGTACATTTTATAGAGTACATTACATAATGTGAATACAAAGAATCACTATTAACGTGTTCGTTTGGTCGGGACGACCATTGTCTGGTGACGGAGGTCAGAAGAATCGTAGTCGGCGGGTGACGGAGGTAAATAGGACAGTTGCTTTACGACGGAGGCTGGAAGGACTGTGTCTGATGATGAAGGTCAGAAGGACGGCGTCAGGTAGAAGTCCAACAATGGAAAGAAATCCATCTTCGGATATACGTCCAACGAAAGTCCAATAACTGTTAGAAGTCCGACGTCCGGTAGAAACTTGGCGAAGAGTGAAGGTCAGGTGTCGGGTAGAAGTCCGACGTCTATTGGTGGACGAGGAGAACTCCGGCATCACTTGGGCGGAGTTTCAGCGTCAGGAGGTAACTCTGTCGTTAATTGAGAAGAATTTCCGCATCCCGTGGAAGTTGGGCAGAATTATGGCGTTCTCCCGAAAATCTCGGCGTGTTCGGGCGGCGGGAAGAACTCCGACGGTGGTCGAGGAGGAGCTGATTCTCCTTCCCCTTCTCTTCTTCTTCCCTTCTTCTTCTTGCTTCTTACTTGAGTCCCTTCTTATGGAGAATGAGGGCTCTGTTTATAGTTTTTCTGGAGTGGCATAGTTTTTAAATAGGTGTGAGATCAGGGGCGAATATAGAGTGGTCGAATGGATGGTTGATGTTGAATCCTTCGATTGTGCACTGTTCATTGGACATTTGAAGGCCTTAGTGATGTTCGAATTCTGTGATCTTGGGCTCGTTGGATTCGTCTCGTCGAGCTGCTCGATTCGAGTATAAGCTCATTAAAATCAGAGACCGTTTGATAACTCAAATTGTGGTATGAGCTTTCCAACAGGACTTCGGGCGCTTGATTTGGGCTCATTTGGGCTCGGACTGAGTTGAATTTGGTGTCGTTGGATTCGTATTTCCAAGACGCTCAGCTTGACTATAAGCTTGCTGAAATCAGAGTTCAGGTGATCCCGGATTTAATTTTTGAAGTTTCCAACATGATGTTTGCCTCGAGATTCGTGCTCAATCAAGATAATTCTTTGATAACGTATCAACAATAATGACTTGCATCATTTCTAAAAAAGTGTGCATAAGTATATAATTAAGCCAAATGTACTAAGAATATTCTTAACTCATAAAATGTCTATTTTACCACAAAACTTTTCAATAATATATATATTTTTAATAATTTTGATACATTCATCCACCGAAGTTTAAACTTGTAATTATTATTTTTTATGAATTATTGCTATTAGTTTGAAATGAGAATTTGACTCTTAATAGACAATCATGAAGAAAAATGACTTTTGTAGCTGATTCCACCTAGTCAGATAAAACTTTATGTTGTTATTATTGTTTTTGTTACCTGAATTATTTTAATGATATAAAAATTTAAATGAAGCTTTTATTTTTTTGTCCCAAACAAATGTCATACTAATTTGGCATATTAGATATAAAAAAATGCTCCTAAATAAATTATACATTTTATAGATCAATTGGGCAATACATCACATTCTACATTTGCAAAATAATTTTGAAGTCAAAACTCGGTCAAAATAAATTAATTAAAAAATACTGACACTTGAAATGATTTTTTCTTAACAAATCATAACTTCAAAAGAAACTCTACTAATTTTGAATGCAGTGCTACAGAGAGGCTGTGGGCCACACTGCTTTTTTAATAAAATAATTTTGATGTGAAATTATTATAATATTCTATAAATAAATATAAAAATTTAAATATTATATATATAAATACTAAATAATTTGAGCCATCCCTTTAATTAAAAAATAATTTAAAAAACAGGAATTATGAAGTCTTGCTGGTTTCATCTTTTACATGTGGGGGTTAATAAAAGGCTCAGATGTTAAATGGTCGACGAATCTGGCTTAATTATTACCTACAAGCAAAGCCATCAAATATTACAGCTCCAACCTTCCAGGGTCCATCGTGCAACAAAAATTTCACTCTTTAGGCAAAGCTGGAGGGGTCCAGAATGCAATAAACAAGTCGGCAGGGTCCAAAAAGAAAAAAGTGTTTCGTTTCAACCTATTCGCTCAACAATTGGGTTGTTGGACAGAGTCATCAAAGGAGAAAATTTCTTGTGTTTCCATATGGTTTCAACCCTTTCAAATCCTTAGGCCTTGTGCTCGTTCGATCTTTGAAAATTCTCGTAGGCTTATAAAGGATTCTGCCGGGTCGATTCGTTATCTTCCTCTGATTTTGGGTTTTCGGCGCTTGGAGAAGGTATACGATGATCCGGATTTTGTTCACGCTGCTCATGGCGGAGGTGGGGGTAGTGATCGTCCTCCTCTTCAAGACGCCGCTCAGAAAGCTTGCGGTCATGGGGTTAGATCGGTTGAAGCGAGGCCGCGGGCCGGTCATGCTGAAGACGGTAGCGGGGACCATCCTTATCATGCTCTCCTCGAGTATCTATGGCATGGCCAGAATCAAGAATCGATCCACCGAGATAGGAGGGCTCAATCCTACTGAACAGGTGCTCATGAGCTTCCATATCCTCGAAGCGTCGCTGATGGGTATGGTTTCATTGTGATTATTTCCCAACCCTTCAGATTTTTTGAATTAATATCATTTCGTTTGGATTGTTGACGATGATTACGAGATGGGAGATTCAGGATATTAGCGAGTTTTAGATGGATTTCAGAACTTCATTAGGGCATTCTAATATTGCAAGTGGAATTATGGTCGTAGATTTGGTTAGGGATTGGAGTTGTAGAGGCTCATTTAAAATAAGGGGGTTACATATCGCTTAAAACATTAGGGTTTATATCTTTAACATCTAAATTTTATTATTTACATCATTAACAGAGTTAGCGGATTTTGCTGGTCACTTGACGGATCTTGTTGGGCCCGTTGATGCGTTCTCCCAGTGAGCTCATGCACGTCTTCCTCTTCTTCGTCGCACACCATGGACTTGTGTAGGCCTTCTTAAGAGGCTCCTGCACGACTTCTTCAGTTCCTCCATGTGTTGCCTAGATTAGTCATGCCTTTTTCATCAAGCTCCCGTCTGATTTGCACGTTTCTTTGTTGTCGAGGGCTTCATGAATTTTGGTGGGAGTGAAAGAGAGGTAGATTAGATAAGGCTGTGAGGGTGGAAAAATTATTACCTTTGGAGCCTGTACGCCATCTAGACTCCAATCAAAATTGGCCACGTCGCCTGTACACAGGTTTTGTATTATATACAACTTGTGCATAAACCTATAGATAGGCTATGTACAGGCGATGTGGTCTATTTTGATTGGAGTCCAAACACAAGCTATGTCCGGACTCCACACGTAATAATCTCTCATGAGAGTGAGTGGCTTAGAGGTGATCAACATCATGTGAAGAGCAACATATCTAATGGCAAAGGGTGATGGATTGGTGAAGCGATGGGGGGGGGGATCATTTTTTTAATTTAATTTGGATGTTTTTACCGTCTTTGATTTTTTTTGAGGAAATTTGAGGCCAAGTCCAATGTAATGAAATAATAAATAAAGTTTATTTGCTACAATACTTCTATGGATAAAAAGGGAAATAAAGCAAGGTTGATCCATGAACTAGAGGGCAAGAAACTCATCCAGCCAGCTCATCACCTTGGGACATGCCTTAAACTAGCTTACAATTAATCAAACAAGAACCACGTACTCCACATAGAAATTAAGAATAATAGCCCAATCAAATCCCTTAGAAGGCGCAATCACACTACTGTTGGATAATCACTTCACCCATTAAGAACCAAGAACAATGATAGCCAAACGTGCCACTAAAATTTTCTGATGGGCAAAGATTGGGTGTAGCACTCTCTTTTGAACCATTTAGCAATGTCTACCCCAAAAAACAGATAGTGTGGTAGCTAGGAGTAAGCTTAATGGGGTTTTTATGAAGTGTGAATGGTGAAGTGAGTATTTCTGATCCATTGAATAAAATAAAGGAGATCTTGCATCAGGGTGTGGTGGGTTTATAGTGTCTGTGTATGATGGAGAAAACATAGCTTTTGTATAGACAACAAAAACAAATATTGGCCAATTTTTAGGAGCACACCTATGCTGGAATAAGGGGGATCACATAGAATCACCTTGTGTAAAAAAATTTGATAGTATTTAGCTTGCTAAGGCCAGATTGTTGACAAATGTAGCGCACCATAGGTACATTTTTTGACCTAAACAAACTTCCACTTTTTCATCTTATCATATAGACACAATCTACTCATTGCAAAATATAATGTGTTCTATTTATCAAAAATTACACGAATGTTGTGATATATGACCTATGAATCAAGTTGTCTGTGAATGAATCTTTTTTAATGTGAAGGTTTTGAGTTAACATTTTGATGGAGAAAATTTAAGCTTTTTAAGAGGAATATATTAGTGTTTTTTTTTATATTCAATAATGGTAATTTCTGAGTAGGGATGATTTTTTTTGTCCCAAAAAAGCCACAATATTATATGAGAAAAGGGTCAAAATAATCCCTTGGCTTTTATAAAGGACCAAGATGGCCCCCAACTTTAAAGGACCATTTTTGTCCCTCAAGTTTATAAAGAGGAATCAAAATAGTCTCATGGTGGGATTGTTTTGGTTTCTTTTTTCAGATTTAAGGGACTAAAATGATATTTTAATATAGTTGGGGAGTCTTTTGGCCTTCCATAAAATGTCAAGGGATCATTTTGGTTCATCTTTCATATTATATTCATGTTCTCATGTAAAGCATCCAAGAGGTTTCTTAGATATAATTGCGCAGCATTAAAACAAAGATAATTTTGTGTCAGTGGAGCTGACTGAATCGATTGATCTTCTCCAATGCTACTTCACATCTGCAAAAGTTATTGCATTTGTTCATTTTCTCTTAATTAAGATGTGATATATAATCAACCATTAGTATAATACTTCTTGTAATGATGATTTCACAAAATTTTTTTTTTCAAGTTTTGTGATAGTAATTATGGGGCTGTTATCAGCTTAAAAAGGTTTTCTGTGATGTCTTTTTTCTTTATGCAACTTTTTGAATTTTTTTTTCCAAAAATAATCATTGGAGGAACTTTGATTCCTAATGAACTGCATGGATTTCTAGAACTGTAGGTTATGTGCACAATTATTTTACAATACTACCGGTGCTTCATTATGCAAAGAGCCTATCTCATTCAATTTATTTGTTTCCTTTTTAGATTATGATTTCTATATAGATCCTCACCCTGCCTTCTTCTCCTGAAAGAATCAATTATAATATGCCGTAATGCTAGATGTTTAAGGTTTATTATATATCTTGCTTAGATATTAGAAAAAATAAAAACAAAAATGAATCTCCTGAATCCTTGATTTGTTAAAAATAGGTGATTCTTTTCATAATATTCAGTTAATTTTAAATGCATTTTAAGTGGTGCGACATCTAGTGCGCTATGATTTTATTAATTGATGTTAGCATCTTGTAATATTGTTTATTACGAATATTTAATATGGTTATTATGAATATTTTTCTGTAAGGACACTTATGATGTGACTCTCAAAGCCTACAGCTCTTGGAAATGCATACTGTCTGCATTATATCAATTATCAGAAAATTTGAAAATTGTGTTGTAAATGATTAAATGGTTTATTCAGAGTTGTATTTAACTCTAATTCGACTTCACTTCTATGCGTATTTATGATGGATAGGAAAATGAGGTATAATGGAAGGAATAGGAGACATGTCTTTTGAAGAATTCTATTCCCGTTGCTATGTCGTCGAGTGATTTTAGCAGCCTTTGGTTGCAACAGAATTCTGTTACTATATTATCGTTTTCTGAGGCCATTTGTTGATTCTTTTGATGAGATTTTGATATTGAACTTTGAAGCTGTCCTATTCCTACTGTATCTTACTATTTCGTAGGTGATTCCTATTCTTGCACCTTGCGGTATATTGAAATTGCTTGTAAGGCGACACCATTTGAAATGGTCTATGTTCCTTTTTTTGTGGCACCAATGAAATCACGGCATAAGTATTCTATTTTCGCTAACCTTATCTGCATGGTTGCTATTTTCTTACAAATCAATGTGTTGTCTGGTATGAAATAAATTTTTATGATGGTAATACTTAATTTTTGGATATCAAATCATTCATCCTTATTCGATATAATGAAGTGTGAGACTTCAAGTATTTGAGGAGAGACTATCTTGTTGTTCAAGAGCCCAATTTGACACTATCTTCATGTTAAAAAATATGACTTGCTTATCCATGACTTTTTTCCTTTCTTTTTTTTGTCACTCTTTATTTTTCTTCTTTTCTTTATTATTTGTCATTGGCTGAAAGTGCAATCAATATTCACAATTTTTGCTTTGTTTTGGTTTCTTCTTTTGTGCCAAATTTCAATTGCTTGCATGGTTATCAATTTTTTCTTATCAATCTTATCAATTTTTTAATACTATTTTGAAGACTATGGTTAGAAAATCTTAGTAATGACCTTTCTTTATTAGATTTAAACGAGAATTTGGCTTTTAATAGGACACAATGGAGAAAAAGGATTCATGTAGCCGACCCCACGTAGTGGGATAAAGGCTTGATGTTGTTGTTGTTGTTGTAATCTTTAACAGAAGCCCAAATTTTTTGGTCTAAATTGATTTATTATTATTTATAGTTTTCATTGAAAGTAATAAATTATTTTAACATTAATGATCTGTTTCTTCTGAAAAGTTTCATGTTTGTGGAATTGGTGGATTGCATCTAAATTTAGATTGTATTCTGGACGCGCATTCATTAATGATCTGTCCTTCCTTTTATCTACACACTTATGAGCACCACATTTTGAATTGAGCACTAATAAGAAGCATGTATAGGAACTTAAGAGAGATGTTTGGTAGCTAAATTTAAAGATGCTGTTGTAAGACTATGAACAGAAAATATGATTTGATGTAGGATATGGTTCCCTTAGGATCACATTTAGGGACCTTGGAATCACTCCAGTGAATGATAAACTTTCATGCTTTATCTTTTTCAACCATTTAACCCTGACTAAAGATCGGGTAGAGGTCATTCTATCTAAACTCAAGTAGATCCAAGTCTAGTTAAATGGTTGGTTCATTCGAGCCAACTTATCTTGTTAATGATTCAAATAAAAATTGATATAGGCTTCGTTTGAGACAGCTATCTTACTGCTTCTTAAAGCAGCTTTTTAGTACAAAAATTTTTTGTACTAAAAAACTGCTTTGAGAAGCAGTAAGAAATTCGTCCCAAACAAAACCATAGTCTCAATTTTTTGAAAATCAACATATATACGCATATCCATGTGTATTCAATAGTCAAACTCACGGTGGACTAGATCGTTACCTTTTTTGTACCCGGTTCTCCTTTGCTCCCAATGCTATCTTGTGGATTTAGTTTTGAACCGTCGAACTCCTGCAGGCTATTCACTACTGCTTGCTCTCATCATTGACCGATTGCACCATTACATTAGAGAGCTACGTGGGTTGAGAAAAAGCATGGAAGCTGTAATGAAGCAAAACAGGGCATTAGAAGAAGCAAAAAGTGGCGGCTCCGACGAAATCAATACTCGCGACAAAGAGATTGCCAAGTTGAACGAACAGATCCAGCAACTCAAAACAGAAAATGAGAAAAAACTTAAGGAACTAAAAGCAGCAGAAGCCAACACCACAGCTCTAAGGAAACAGTCAGAGGGCTTTCTTATTGAATATGACCGTCTATTGGAAGACAACCAGAACCTTCGCAACCAGTTGCACTCGATTGATCTCACCTTATCACACTCCGATTCAAAGAAGCATTCATGAAACTCCTCACTTTTGTATTTCAGTGTTATACCTGAAAAAACTTTATATTGTTTAAAACTTCATAGTTATCCCTTTTATACGCTTTGTGGATTTTGTGAGTTGGTGAAATGATAAATCAGGAATGTTTATTTTACCTTATCTGAAACTGTACTATCGTTTTGTTTTTTTCCAGTACGTCATTTGGTACTGCTAGAGTGAAATGGTTGTGATTTTATCAATTGGCAATTTCTCTGATGCATTGTAAATTTCAACCTTGGTCACAACTTTGGTATTTAAACAGCTTTTAAATCTCCATGTTTCCAGCTGATTAAAGCCCTTGTTCTCTTTGACTCCATGGGTAAACATATGTAGGAGTCTGATTAGGCGTTTATTCTGATTTAGCTACTGAGGTCTGCTATATTGTTAGTGCCTACCTTGTAAAGGGAAAAATTATTCTGTGCGGGGGCCGGATGGCGAGAACTGTCCGGATTTGTTGTGATTTAGCTGCCCTTTTTTTGAGTATTTATAAAAGCACAACAAAAGGATAGCAAATCTGGATGGTTTTTGCCGTCTGGTCTCCGCGCAAAATAATTGAATGAATATTTGACTGTTGAAGCAGCCCCCAGTCGTTAAACCGTAAAATTAAAGGTTCGTTTAGGACGGCTATAGTATTTTATGAAATTAATTGTGAAATTGTCGTGCGAATGTAATTTTGTTACAATAATTGGAGAATGTAAATCATGAATGTTGAGGATATTTGGATTTGCCCTCCTGCGTTGAGTTAGACAGGAGAAAACAATTTCTAATGAGCAAGTTTATATAATGATGATATATAATCGAATCATTGACTACATCTATAGTCTAAATATTATAAATGTAGTTGGCTAATCTCCCTAATTATGATTGCTTTTCCACTTATAAGAATTTGAATAGGCAGATGTAGACAATTTAGAAATGTTCTTCAAATTACATCGTCAAACATTAATAATTCAAACATTGACAAAATCTGTGTGAAGCCATTAATAGTTATATATTGAAAATTTGTCATCTTCTTAAAAGATGACTACATTTCATTGTCTTATTCTCAGAATTTTAAATTAAAATACTTCAACATTTCAACATGTGATGCTGATATCATATTTATATCAGTACAAGAAATAAGACTTCTGCACCACTTAATATATAATACAACGGTGATTTTAAGCCTCAAAAATACTTGCAGTAGTTGTAAGACCGCATTACTTATTTTCCCTTATAAAGATCTCCTGCAGAGATTTTGAGACCATCAGGGAAAAAAATTTGATGCACTAGTTTTAATAGTTTCTTTAACTGCCGCAAATATGATATTATTGCGGCAGTTTAAATCACAGCTATTTTGCAGTTATAGCAGCAGTTGAAACCGACACAAATGATGCAGATTTGAAGTACTTATAGCATCACATTTGTTTTTAAATTTCACATTTTGCGCATTATAACATCTTCTACAATGTTATGCAGTGAAATATAAAGCAAGTTCATCAATTTTACTTAAAAACAATCAAACATAAGAAAATAACATTGCATGCAAATAGCACAGGGAAGAATTATTGCTATTTGCTGTTTCATTCAAGATTCATTTGGGACAACTTTATTACTGCTTTTTAAAATAGATTTTTAATATAAAAATTCAATTTTTTTATTAAAAAACTGCTTTAAGAAGCAGTAAAAAACTGTCCTAAACAAAGTCTCAATCTCCTACTACAACTTTACTATAGAAGGAAGCCATATTTTGCTAGAATATTGATTGCATAGTTGTAACACAAACGTATATTCCCGTTCTTCAAAAATCATGGATGATAATGATAATAACTCATGAGAACCTATTTCAGACATTGAAGAGGTTTTATAAGGGCATAGAATCATTGAATGGAAGAGATGATAATGTAGTATGCCGAAGCTGTCCTTCTCTCCCAAAGTCCTGAAAACAAAACTTAGTAGAATTAATTTCGACCAAAATAAACAAATAGCTCTCAAAACAAAAAATTCACAATCACTTGACAAGATACTCTACAGTCGTTAGTTCTCAGTAATATCTCAGTAATGGCTTCTTTTTGTTCTCTAGATGCTCCACAAAGTTGAAAACTAAGAATTTAAGTTATAGATGAATAATCAAGGTGGTGTTTAACTAAGTTACCTTAAATACTACATAGGAATTTCTAGAAAAAAAAAAAAAAACACAGGAGAGTGTGATACGCATTAGGTTTCACAAATTAGGGTTTGCCCTAATTTCCCCTCCAAAAGAGAGAAATTTCTCCACCCAATCCAAGAAAAATCAACACAAGAGGGATGAGAGGAAGAACAAGAACATTTGCATTCAAAATCCAAGAGAAACAAGATACAATTTGTCCACTTCGAGAAGGACAAGGTCTCCCACTACAAACCCTAGAAAAACAAGAGAAAGAAACTAAAAAAAAGAGAAAGAAACTAAGAGGCTAAGGGAAAACTCCAATCTTGCATAACCCTAAAAATCCCCCCTTATTCCCCACTTATAGCAAGCAAAAGATCAAACCAAACCCACTAGTGGGCTGCCCAAGCTGAACCGCCCAGCTCTGCCCTGCGTCTCGCCCCGCGCCCGCGTCACCTTCGGCGGATCGACCCGCGCGGCCTCCTTCCCAGCCGATGTCGCGTGCTCCGGGGTCGCCGGATCTTCCCCTGCCGGTCGGCGGCAGCCAGCCCTGCTCCTCCTCTTCCGGTCGGAGGCGGTCTGCATCAGAGTGTTTCCAATTGAAATGAAATTATTATTTAGCTGATTAGAGTGGTCACCTATGGGGTTCTTATGGGAGATTTAGAGCATTTTTTCTCGCTTCCTGCTTACTTTAAAAGGCCAAGGTTAAATTTTCCTTGAAAGGAAGATGGAGTGACCATACAAAATGAGCTTAAGCTTTTATTCCAGTATAAATAAGATATGTGAAGTTCACTAAAGTGCAACCCAACTGATATTCTTTTATACCAGTTGCAATATTGTTAGCCCAATCACATTAGAATAATACCGCTTTAAATTTATCAGAATAAGATCTTAATAATATTTTTAATTTTCCTGTGGTAATTAAAATTTCCAATCTCTGTAGAACAACAACAATATTTTGAGTTTTCTTATTCTTATCACATGCATTTATGTGAAAATTTTATCCATTAGTGATAAATCCGTTATATTTTTGTGCATCTTTGTTAGGTCCCTTGGCAAGAGCCTTACTTTTATTAGTTTTTATGGGATCAGTACAAGACAAACTTAAATAGAATAGTCATATTATTATTTAATTACAAATTAATTATTTAATAAAATATTAAGTTTTAAGCTTGCTACTTGACCCAACAATTTATGAAATCTTTCATTAATAAGTTTCTCTACATTCTAAGGTACATGATGTGTGTGCTGGAGTCTCTTCCTTTTTTCTTCATCTTTGAAATATTTTCTATATGATGCATGATTATCAAAACAATATAGCATGTATTTGTGAGCTTAGATTAAAGATTATCATCTATCACAAATGACTTAACCCTCCCTAAAGGAATTCCACCATTGGAGAACTTAAATACCACTCTCTTCTCAATTGACGATGAAATTATGCTCATACTTTTGCTAGAACCCCCTAAATATTTAGGCCAAATTTAAATCCTTTTCATATTAACAAATCCTTTCACAATTGATCCCATAGGTTATTCTTTATTACTTATTGTGTGCTTCGAAAATTCGGCCCCAGCCTCCTCGCTGCCTTCTGCTTTTTTTGCTTTTGAGCTATCGGGGGGAGTTTTAACAGATTAAGTTTTAGGGAAAATTTTGGGATGGAAAATTGGGTTTGAAATAAGGCACTACCTTGAGATTTCGCCCTCATTTTGTAAGGATTTTATGATCTGAGTTTTGGTTTCCTAAAAGCACAAGCCCCTATAGTTTATTCCCCCTCTCGATCACGAGAGAGAACTTTTGATTAAGGCTAGTCATCAAGGGAGTACACCGTATCCATAGTTAGTTTGGGTATTTGAAACGTTTGATATTTAAAATTGAAAAAATTTCACCATCTTTTACTTAAAGCATATGGTGGGAGAAGTGATGATGAGCCTGATTAAGATCCCATGGTTTTGTCATCCCAGGCCACCATGGTCCTTAGTCTTAGTCAGAGGAGGTAGTCGACCAAATCTGATAAAAGGATCCTTATCAACAACCATGGGTTGCATCGTCCAAGGGTACCTTATAAACTTAGGTTGGATATTTGTCTAAGAGGATAAATTTGAATCCACCTTAGCTAACAGAGGGCTTTGTGCCCTATCGATTATATCCCATTGAATCATATCTCAGGGATTTGATACCACTAGGGAGCTTATAGGCTCTGGCCATAATCATAATTTAGTGGTACCATTTAATGGAAAATCACATAGTTCTGAGGGCCCTGGTCATAATTGTTTACCTATGGTGCCATTTATCAGCAAAATCATAGGTGTGGTGCTATTTGATGGCAAAACCATTGGTTAGAGGACACGTGCCACGTCCTTACTGAAAGAGATAGATTGAGAATGAATTCTATGATATTCTCGACTAGGCATTAACTTTTTATGAGATGGAGTAGTTTTCTAATTTGTCCACCTCGGAAAACCTTTGCAGAAGGTGGACAGATTTTTAAGCTTTAAGTGGTTGATGGTTAGTTTCAATTTTAAATATCTTGAATTTTGATATTTTTGAGCGTTTAATTTTTGGGGTATTTGGGTGGCATCTTTAATGTTTTGAAATTGACCCCTACGATTGAGATTTGCGTTCAACATAGCCATCATCGGAGTGAAATTAATTTGTATTTTATGAAAATTTGAGGGCATTTGAAAATATTTGATCCCCACTGGTTGATATTTATATTCAACATGGTCATTGTCCAGGGAATATGATTTGTTATATTTTATTGATTGAACCTTGTCAACTCTATCTACTTGCAGACAGATGATCAGGTTATAATTGAAATTTATTTGTTAACCTACATGGTATTATCAGGTGCCACATGTGTACCTACAACACACTCGTTGGGGTCTACGTAGGTATATACCATTAGATGCATTTCACATGATGCATTCACATGGATGAATGATATAATTTTTAAAGTGCACTTATAGTGCCAAATGATATACTTGAGTGAAATCCTCTACATCCTACCAATGAATGCAAGAGGTCATTTTAAAATGCATAGCGATATAATGTAATGACAATGCCAAGCGACAT